TGCGGCCATGGCTTTTTGCTGTATTTATGCGAGGTCAGTCAAATCTGAGCAAGTTATATACCTTCAAAACCCAGAAGTATGTTGAAAGCTGGTAATTAAAATTCTCTGAAAAGTTCATTAGCATTGACCATGAGTCATCAGCAATGTTTATACATTTTGGCAAGACCTGCTTTGCTCTGTTCAGGCATGGAAGAGGACTTCCTCTTTAATTCCTCCTCACTGTACCTCAATTCCACATCTGGAACTAGAAGATAACACCACTTGCCTCAGAGGCTGTGGAGGTGTGAACTGTGTATCATGGGCACATGGTTTAGTGTGAGGTGTCCCTGCCCATGGCATGGGGGTTGGAACTAGATGATCTTAAGATCCTTTCCGACTGTAAATATTCTGTGATACTTTAATTCTATGTGACATCTTGTATGAATGTAGGCTTACTTGGGAGTGTAGGTGAGATCAAGGAAGGTAGCCAAAGGAAGAAGTCATGTACCTTCATTTAAAATGGATTATTTACGGAGGCCTCTGCGGGTAGCATAGAGCTGTAACTTTTCACCTTAGGTTTTCCCACAGGAACCAATTTCTCTGCCTATACTTGGTCACACAAAGTCATAAACAACAGCCATACAAACCTATGGAGCAAGTTAGAATCACAGAATGGTTTGTGTCGGTAGGGATCTTAAAGGTCATCTAGCTCCAACCCCCTGCTACATTCATACCATTTTATTCAGTGATGCATTTGAGTGATGATTGGCATGAGGTCACATACTGAATGTTGAGAATTAAATAAAAGTTTAGATGACAACTCATCCTGTGACCGTGACATTGTTTTCCAATCCTTGGTATTTGGCATATTTTCAAGATACTGCATGAAGCAAAGGCTCTGGACCAGATATGTAGTTTTGTAATAATATATCATGACATATATGCAAAAGAAGGCTGAATTCAGATGACAAAACTAACCTTTATTTTTTGCTGCTGTATTTTGCCAATTCTATGGGGTTTTTTTCCAGCACATTTTTGCACAGAAAATAACTGCCAAAGCTCTATTTCAGTGTATAGAAAACAGAATCATTCACTTGCTAAGTACAAGTCGTGTGACTATGTATCTGCTTTGCCTTTGCTAACAATTTCCTTTCATGAACAATGAAAAACCTAGGAAACTGCTCAAAGTGGAAAAGGGTGATTAAAAAAAAAAAAAAAAAGAAATAATGCTGTCAACTGCAAGTACTGCCTCTTTTTCCATTAACAAAATCAAAACTAAAGCTCTGAAGTTTGAGGAAATGATTTAATCTTGCTGTGATATAGCTATTGTGGCATATACTTTCTAGTTTTATTATTTAAATCTCCTTACTATGAGAGCTGTAATAGGAAAAACTTATGTGTGCAAATTACTTCTACTTTGAATATGAATAAGGATCTAAAGGCTTTGTACAGACAGTCTAATTTTTCATCTACAGCTAGATACTAATCTCTTACTTTTCATGCTGCAGACAGAGAAGTGCAACCAGAACCTTTCAAACTACGCAGCGGCCTATGTAGCACGTCACATTGGGGCCTGGACTCAGGACAGAGCACCTGTAAAAAGAAAAGGCACTTGTAAAGTTTTCAGTGGTAGTTAATGAAGCTGTATGCCCCTTGTGACAAAATTCAATACCACCACTCAGCCCTGCAGTCACAGGATGCTTGGAAGCAGCTGTCAATACAGCAGACATAAGGGACATTATAAATATGTTAGTGAAACAGGCAGCAAGTTCTCTTTCCTTCCTCTTTCTTCCCTGCCACCTGCACATCCTTGCAACCTGAAAGCATCAATTGCGGGAGTAAAAATTACAGACCTTAAAAAGGCACCAAGTAAAGATATATCACTACTCTAGATTCCTCTATATTCTTCAGGGTCTAAACAATTTAACTTTCTGTGCTTTTTTTCCTGCCACACACCGCAAATGCCTTTAGCTCTAGGATGTTATGATTAGCTTCCCACCCCAGACTGGTGGCATTCGTTGTTAGGGTTCTAAATATTACATGAAGATACCCTACATTTTTTTGGCCTTCTGTAGGGTCCTAAATTCTTTATCTTAGTGTCTGAGAAGGTGATGTATTTACATTAATTGAAATGATGATTATGTGCAACTGAGTCACATGATACAGGAGTTGAAGGTTCTTTTGGTTTATTATTTCCAATGCGTTGCTTAATCTGTCATGAGGTAGGATGGATTTTCTATTAACTTAGGCCACTACTAGCACCATGAGTATGTTCTGAATAAGCAGAGAGCTGATGTCTCCTCCTTGGGTTTAAGCCTTAATGAAGCCCAATGATAATTCATATCTGTAGACAAACATTTTGAAGCCTTTGTCCTACTCAGCAACTGTCCATGATCTTCCCAAACATTGTGGGTTCCCCACAGGAAGAAGATTACCATCATAAGATGTAAGGAAATTGTAAACCAGAGGAGGGTACCTCATAACGACATTCAGCACACCTGTGAATTTAACCAGAGAATACTTGTAAGGTGTGAACTGAGAAGATGACATCTACTAGAGCTCTGTGGAAATCTGGATATAAGGCACCAACCATGCATTCAGAATTATAATCAGAAACTCAGGAAGATAACAGGTCATCAACAGAGGAGGATCTGAAGTGGCAGGAGTTGTTGAGTGATTTCATTCTCATTCTTGCTGGTACTTCAGGCATGAGTAGAAATTCAACATTGATAAAGTATAGTGGTTAGTTGCAATATGTTGTATAGAAAATTGTTAGAAGAAACAAAGGGGAAGTGTGGGAGAAAGAATAACAAAAATTAACTTAGTATTATATACACTTTTAAGCTATTCTTACTAAGAGTAAACATTTACAGAAAAGATAACCATAAGGCTTGAAGGAGTTCAGGTACTGCAGGTTTGGGAAACTGAGTAACGTATGATGAGAAGGAAGGACGCTACAGCTGAAAGTATGAACATATTCACAGTATTGGAGTCCCTCTAAACAATACTCACCAAGTGTCTTCACTTAGACATCTCTGAGAGAAAGTCTAAACAGTAAAAGGTATAGGGACAAGAACGTGAAAGGGACCTTGAGCTCTCATGTATAAATCTGACATCAGCCAAAAGGGTTTGACTTGAAACAGTGACTGGAAATGATGAAAATAATGTCTCCAATTCAGAGTAGCCATACTTGGTAAGAGTAAGTAAGTGTGAATTTCATTTTGTCAAGGGAATTTATACATTTAGGACTGGAGCAGCTGTGAACAAAGATCCATTCTTTTGCATGTTACGTGACCCGTATTCCTGAAACTCTTGGAACCTTTGCCCCAGCTGACCTGTCAGATAACTGAAGCTGCGAGACAGCCTTCCACAAAAAAGTGTTGTTTTTCTTCATCTTTGCTCCCATCATGTGCTTAGTACGTAAATTAGATATCTGGGGCTCCAATTCCTCCTTCAGCTGATGAGTACAGTAACTTTGAGACAGATGAAACATCATTGCAGAAGTGTTTTCTTCTTACCCTACTATAAAAAATGTGTTCTGAAATTCACTAACAGATGTTTACTCTAACCCCATACACACAAAGATATAAGTAAAAGTCTCCTGTTCATTTGTCAGAAAAGCCAGATTCCTTCTTTCCTCCTGAATGTTCCTTTTATATAGTTAATGATAATAAATATTCACAAGTATCACTCACTGTTGGAGTAGTATTGTATTTCTTGTAGGATGTTAGCAGTTTTCACTTTACAAAAGTATTTTTTGAAGGTTTTTTTTTTAACTCGGAGGGAGAAACTTGCCCAACAGTACAAATCTATCCAGAAAGAGTGCTGAGCACATTCTCTATGCCAAGTGTCTTGGTTTCAGTGTGTGCAAGTGCCCTTTTTTTGTCATGCAAACCCCTAAATCGTGGGACTTTGAAAAAGGAAATGGGTCACTTGGGTTATCAGGAAATTACCTCAGAAAATCCTGACTTTTTTTTTTTTTTGGAAGGGAAACAGAAAACTGAAAAAAAATGGGGTTTTAAAGCTTAGATTGTGTCTTTACTAGTCCTAGGATATTCTCTTATAAAGGAGTCCCTGAAGATGTGGGAAGAAGCCCTTGTGCTAACCTTAACTAGTGTGTCTTCTAGGACTAGTCAAGATACCTTATATGAACTTAATTGGAAAAAAGAAAAGTTAAGACACCTCAGTACATTTTCTTATTACCAAGTAAGTCACCTTTGCTTGCACAGCACCTTTCAAGTATTGTCAGTAGAAAAAAAAAGGTGGTATTAGTGTTATCTTACAGGACAAGCGTATGGGAAGGATTGTTGCAACAGGATAAAGGTGAGCCTGGATATTAAAGACTGATAAAAGATTTGTGGATCCAGAGTGGTAAAAGGACCCATTTTGTTATTTGTGTTTGTTGTGTGTGGACAGGGGGTGGGGTATTCCTGGAGGTGGGTTCCATGGTATCTTACAGTTGCCCTTGAGGATCAGGTCATTCCCTTCACATCTTCCTCAAGTTATGGAGAACAGAACATGAATGCCCCATGTACTTTCTTCTGCTCAAAATTCCTATTATTTATTGGCAACATCAATGCATCGATGTCAAGGTGTTTTTTGTCCAGCATGCCTGTGGGATGCTCTGACATCCCAGCCTGGGGTGCAGAGACAAGGAGAAGGACCTCCCGGGCCTGAAGCAGGCCAGGGGCACCTTGTCTGGTCAGAGGCCGCGAGACAACTTCTGTCAGGCCCAGCCATTTATAAACCACCATCCTTGAACACCCTTCCACGCAGGGCAGGTTCACGCTCGGCTGTTGGTGAGCCCCTGTCTCCGCGGGGCTGGAGCGCCTCCTGCCATCACAAGGCAGACGTGCAGGAAACCTGAGCACCGGCGATCGCTTCTCTCGGGGGCGCGGCGAGGGCGGGAGGCGCAGCCCCCCCTCCCCCCCCCGGCTGCTCACACCTCCTCAGCCCCGCCCCTTCCACCGGGCGGGGCTTGACGCGCCGTGCTGCCTCACGCCCCTCCCCTCGGCGCGTGTTCCGCCTGCGCGCCGCGTCCCGGAAGGCGGCCACGTCTACCGGAAGATGGGGGTGCGCCACCGACACCGGCCCGGGGCGTCGCAGTGACCGTCGTTGTCCGGTGCCCCCTCGCAGTATCCCTCGGGCCGGGGGGTTCCCGCTGGGAGGAGGTGAGGCTGGACTGTGCTGAGGCCTTCGCCGCTCCTGAGGGCCGTCGGGTAGGAGGCCGGGCCAGTCCGGGCAGCTGTGTTAAGGGTGGGTAGGGAGGGGGGGAACGGCTACCGTGAACATCGCCCTGTCGCTCGGCCTCGCCTGCTTCGGTGCTTCCCCCTTCCCGTTGCGATGTGCTCGGCCAAGGGACCCTCCACAAGCCTGCTCTGGGGTGAAGGAGCTCTTCACGGGAGCTGGGGTGGAGGCACAAGCCCTCTGTGCCGCTGTAGGCCCCTGGTGCAAGTGTAGGCCGGCCGCTGTCCCCCGTGTTGGTGTCACAGAGGTGACAGCAGGCTGCAAAGTTTACGGGGAGGAAGTTCCTCCGTCTGCCCCGGATTATGAATCTGCAGGCCAAACATTGAAGGCTTTGTTGTCATTTGTCGTTGTAATAAGCATCTGGCCTCTTTTCCTCCAATCAAGTCTAGTTTTGTCAGTTGCAAGAGACTTTGTTGTTGTTGTGGGTTAGCTTGTAGGCTGGGTGCTCTGTGGCCAGAAACAGGTATGGTGGCCTGATAGCTAAGCCTTGTTTTTGCCTGTTTACTTCAGGAATTGGTTTGGTTTATTTCTGTCAGATTACCAAGCAGTGGATACCAAAGGAGTAGGAGAAAAGTGTGAAGATAATTACAGCTCTAATAGATTAACACAGCAGTTGCTTAGGTAACCCACATATCTTGCATTATCAATAGCCAGTCTGATTTGTAATCATTCTATGTTTTTTGCAGCATATGGTCGTGAAATTTTAATTTTAGAGAGTTTATCAACAGACATCCATCATGTCTTGGCTTGCTGATCTTGCTGGAAAGGCAGAAGATCTACTCAACAGAGTCGACCAAGGAGCTGCATCAGCTCTGAGCAAAAAAGACACATCAAACAGTGCCATTTATGATAATAAGAATTTGGACACTTCCAGTGAATACTCTGAATTGCACCAGCATACTGGAGAACTGAAACATCAGATACCATCCAAAGCATCCTTCATCTCATCAGCAGCTGATAACATTAAGCATCAAAAGGTCACAATCCTAGGCAGAACAGCAAATGTGAAACCAGCACGCAGGACATCTTCGGAAGTTGCATCTCCGGTAGAAAGTGTTTCCACACCCAGAGCTGCCTCACATTTTGTGAGAAGAAAAAAGTCAGAACCTGATGATGAGTTGCTATTTGATTTTCTTAACAGTTCAGAGAAAGAGCCTAACGGAAGGATGGATTCTAAAAAAGACAAGAGCAAGGCACCTGTCGTTCAAAATAACTCTCGGACTTCGATCGTCAGTTCTGTGTCTACCAGTACACAGAGTGCAAAAACTACTGAAGATAATTCTATTAGGAGCCAAGGCAATGGTAGTTAAATAATATTGAACCTAGATATAGTTATACCCAAGTATGTCCAGGGTAAGGCTAGGTAATATGTCACTTCATGAAACATTTGTTGGTAGTAGTATGCCAGATGAGTGGACTGCAGTAGGGTCTGTAACATTTTTTCATCACTGGGATAATACTGTGAGGATTTGACAAGTGTAATTAATACCCAGGTCTTTTATGTTCTTGATCTGTCTGGTTGCTCCTGCTCACCTTGACCTTCCTGAGCGATGGCTTAACCTTGCATCAGCCCCCATACGTCCCCACTTAGAAGTGCAGGCACTGCTGCATTTGTTTGATCACTCATGGGCCTTTACCTGTTCTTGCCATGTAGGAGAGTGACTTTCCCTGGCTGGTAGATGGTGTTGGCTGTCGCCCAGTGCACTGTGTGAGGTGATGTGAGGTTTTCTTTGTCCCATCATAGAAGAGGGAGAAGATGTCAGACTTACTTTTCCTGCAGAGTAGGAAGTTGGTTGTGGATGGGCTGTTCTTAGAGCTACAGGCATGAGAGAGCTAAGTAGGTAAAGCCTTTGGGTTTGCCGGAAGTAGTTCACTATTGCAGTCTAAACCCTGAAAGAGCCTAAACCTGAAAGAGCCACCAGGTCAAGTGGTCAAAATTTGGGGTATTCTCAAGTGAATGCAGAGGAGAATTGTGTTCTCTATTAGGCTGGCCAGTTGGTACTCGGTCTTTGCTGTTGCTGTGCTACTTTACTCTTGCTTGTTCTGTACAATGGAAGCAAAAGTTTATTAATCTCTTAATAATGTAGTTAGAATATTATTTAGTAATTTGAGTGTATAAAGCATTGTAAATGCCATTTTTTTTACTTAATACATTAAGTATGCTGAAAAGTTTTAGGCAGGAAAGGCGAAATTTGCAAACGTGAAAATTTTTGTATTTCTGGGTCTGTTAACTTTTCAGTAAGGCTTGCTACTACTAGTAGTAATTCAGATATGTTAGGCCTGGTTCTGTGGCTTTGCTGATTGACCATATGTTTATACTCAGCAGTTTGCTTAATGTTGCTTGTTGAATATTCTTCTGAGGGTTTTTGACTGGAGTTTGCCTTGTGGAGCTGCCAAATGAGGAAGCACACAATTATAGTGCAGGGCTTGAGCACACTGGTTTCAGAGTTGATTGTACAGATAGATCTGTGTTGTATATGTTTTGTATAGCATCTGTTGAAGTAGCTTATGATACATTAGCTATAAACAGAACCAATTAACATTGCAGTTTGTACATTAGAATGGGTAATATGTGCTATAAATGGCTAATTTCAGTTCATTAGCTCAATTAATCTATTGATTTTTTCAGACAAAGGAATGCAGATAAATTGATGGTTTGGAAACTGCACATGAATCAAGAGGAAATAAATGACACTTCTTAGAATTGTTTAAATAGGAAAGGGGTTTGAGAAAATGTGGAAGAAATACTGTCACTGGTTGATGTGTTGCTGAGAGTTAATAGTTTGTCCCAGCTCCCTGGGCTCTGGGTGACAGAGGCTGTTGGGGTGGTAACAAGGAAAGTGGAGCGGGTTGGTCGGTGATCAGAAGGTGAAGTAAATAATGTTGTGACAGCTAAACTGCAGTCTTGCTTGGAACTAGTTGCAGGCTGTCCCCTGGGATTTTCAACAGTTGCTCAACTGGGATGTACTAAATTCACAAGTACATATTTTTGGATTGCCTGCTTGTTTGCTTATTGCACTGTGTTGTTCTATCTTAACACTGCTGCAAAGCTTCCAACTATCTGCATGCTGGAATCAATACTGTTACAGTGGTTGTACTCATTTCACAGCATTAATCTGTGATGCTGTGTGGTGCTTAGGCATGATGGGGAAGGGCTGTTGGCTCTTCCTTCATTGCAAGAGGCTGTTGCTCAGAATACTACGAGGAGTCCCCTTACTGTTCTGAGGTTCTAAGATTTTTATTTTTTTTTTTTTTTTAAAGAATAAAAATCTGTATTTTGGTTTTCAAATTGCAATTTGTATTGGCAGAAAGCTTTTAAGAGTTTGACAGACTATATCTACTTTATATTTTTTATTAGAGGAACAATAGTTCATGCTTCTGCTTCAAATCGCTGCAACTTTATTTCTCTTAGTAAAAGTGTTTTTGAACGTGTTTTGAGAGATTTATTAATACAGAATTATCAATAAGATGATTTGACTGGAATTATTCTTGAAATGCATTTTTACCTAAAGATAACACATTTAGCTTTGCTATAAAAATGGCTTAGTATAGTCATCTGAACAGATTTTTTAAAATAAAATGTAAATCCTTAAAATCTTAAGGGAAAACCGGAATTAACTTGTACTAAATATTCCCCTAGTTATTTGCTGTGTATATTAATCTTTTCTGTTACTCTGTTAGGTTCTGAAGACAGCTCTGGGCAGCATAGTCATAAAAAAGTGTTAATGTTTTGAAATCCTGAATTTGACATTATGGTAATAACAAAGAATTTTCATAACTTCCGTGTCTTGTCTTGCAGGATTAACAAAAATGCTGCCTGATACATGTATACTCTAGAATAGTGCTTGGGAGATGCAGCTCCATACTCCGTTTTGATATAAGCTATTATTATCCATTTAAGTACCAATGCAGAACATGGAATTGCTATTTGTGTCAAGACAACTTACAAATACATATATTAGTTCTAATTGCATCTTTCTGTCCAGAAACCCCGGACAGTTCAGATTCTGGACTGGGAGCACAAGCGGATGGCATGAAGGATTCATCACTAAGTGCAGTAACTAATCCTAGCCTTTCAGCTAATGATGATTTGAAATCGCATGAGCTATCCAATCTTCGCCTGGAGAATCAGCTGCTGCGGAACGAAGTTCAGTCTTTAAATCAAGAAATGGCTTCGTTAATTCAGAGATCTAAAGAAACACAAGAAGGTACTGTGGTTTGGAAACTCAACTGTAACTTGTAATGAAAATGCTAGTGAACTAAAAAATAATGCTTTTCCTCTGTTAGCGTTTTGTATTTATAATAAAATCTTTCTAGATAAATTTGCATATGTGACCAAGCAAAATAATACTTGATTTCAGAGTAACGAGCTGTGCGGAACTAAAACGCTTGTTCAACCACAAAGACAACACAAATGTTGGTTAAAATGATGTGATCAACTTAGTTCCAGCCCTTAAACCTTAAAACAGTGTTAGCAGATGTCAGTGTTAAAATATTTTTCCTACATTTTAACAGCCATTGCAAAATACTAATAGTTTTAAATGAGTAAATTCCTTTAAATACTTCAGAATCTGGCTATTTTTGGGCTGTAGGCCATAATCTCTGGTGCCTAGAAACTGATAGTAAAAAAATAAAATCTAGTAATTCTGTATGACTTCACTAGCTTTTCCAAAGCCAGATGAACCGACATATATGAAAGATATGGATATAAATGAAACACTTAATGATAAAACTGTGAGCAAGTTTCTGCTGTTAGGCATACAACTGAGGGACCACATGTTTTTTCAAATTAACTGTATGAGCCAGTGAATTTCAGTTTCCACTGAAGCTTAGTACGTGACATCTGGTTAAAACCAGAAGCCTCTCTAGGTATTTAAGCATTATTTCAACACTGGTGTGTTTTTTCCACTGGTTTTAGGTTGAGCTTATTGTCCTATTTAGTTGAATGAGCTGCTTTATATAGAAGTTTCCTAAAGCTTGCTTGCACAGGGGTATTTGATAGTAAGCCATTGCAAGGGGTGGGACAGGTAAAATTTGTCATCTGCAGTGTGACAGTGAAATGCCTGGTTTGAGATCACCTGCAAAATATCGGGGTTACGCTCTGACGGTCTCGCATTTGTTACTTCTTGGTAGCTCATGAAGTTCCAGTGTTCAATTAGGTTGTATTTAATTTCTTTCTTTAGAAAGTATCATGTGTGTATCCTGACCTTGCAGTAGCTACTTTTATAAACTTCAGAGAAACTTCTTATTTTGTAGAACTGAACAAATCCCGGGAAAGGGTCGAGAAGTGGAATGTTGACCATTCAAAGAGTGACAGGATGGTTAGAGAACTTCAGGCTCGAGTTGATGATCTGACAGAAGCTGTTGGTGCTAAGGATTCACAGCTGGCTGTGCTGAAAGTACGGTTGCAAGAAGCTGATCAGTTGTTAAGCACTCGAACGGAGGCTTTGGAAGCATTGCAGAGTGAAAAATCACGGTACTTCATTGTTATGTACTTCATAATTCTGCATAGTAAGTTTGAAAGATCAAGGCAGATAATTTAGTCTCTTTAAGAATAAAAATGAATAATGGGAAAAGGGATTGTATCAAGATTTGAAATATCAGGATTAAAGTTTACTCTGAACCTGCTGTATCATAGCTAGCAGTGGGAACAGGGCAAGTGAGTATTAAATAGGGGCAGTTGTCACCCAATTATTGAAAGCCATTTTGTATGTTTGTGTCAGAGGCCTGAAGTTGAAGGTCTCTAGAAAAATGTTTTTGTCTTGAAAAATGTGTTTGCTTATCCACAAATATGAATGCTTTTCTGACTTCCCTCAGTGCTGGGATTTGAATTGGCAGTTGGATACTCTAGAATGTAGGTCAGGGAGCAGACCTGAGTCATTAACTCCAGCTTGCACACAAGTAGTGAGCCACATTCAATAATTTACTGTGTAAATTCTCAACACTGTTCTGAGAATCAGGTAATTGTATTTCTTCCTGAAATTTACAATTACGTTTTTATTTAATTTTTTTTTCCCAATTAATGTGTGTATTGCTTTTCCAGGATAATACAAGACCACAGTGAAGGGAGCAGTTTGCAAAATCAAGCCCTTCAAACTCTTCAAGAGAGGCTGCGTGATGCAGACTCCGCACTCAAGCGAGAGCAAGAAAGTTACAAACAAATGCAGGTTAGACATGAAGAGTAAGGAAGTGTTTCAGACTCTGTTTTTGAGATCAGCTGTGTGAGGTTCTAACAGCTTTTTCTTCCCCTTGTCTTCAGTGCCCGTTCAGGGTACTAAGTGCTTGGAAGGATGTGCTGCCTGCTGTACTAAGCATCCTTGTGATTCTGATTTACTTCTTACATGGGTTTTCTTGAAAGCTTTTGATTAGAAGTTTGTGAGAGTTAATGCTGATAATATTTACTGTTTTTTGTTTTGTTCTTTTTTGATGCTAACTTTAGTGTTAAAACTTTTTTTAAAGCTAAGTCAGTAGTCAGTTTAATTTTCCATGCTATGTTGTTACACAACAAACTGTTAGACAATTTTAAATGTGTAATCTTAAGCATATTAAATTGGACAGTAAATTCTATGGCAAAGATGTGAGTACATAATTGCTAGAGACTGCTTTCTGCACTTAGCTTGGCCTTTGTTAGGTATAACAGCATCTTTGAAAATCTTTATCAGTGTCTTTTTGTTGTTTGTTTTTTTTTAAGTAAATCAAAATACAGCAGATTACATTTGGTAATATTTTTTTGAGGGGAAAACTTGCTTTTTGTTTGCCAAAGATGACTGTTATTCCCTCACTAGATCTAGTGAGGGATAGAAATCCATATTTTTACTGATATTATTTAGAACTTGCTTAAGCAAGCAGGATTTCCTTCCGTATACCACTAATGCATCTTTAAGTTGGAGCTGGTAAATATAAGGTGTTGTCATCTGTTTTTGTCTGTGTTGTCAGCTGCTTTTAATCTTTCTTTTTTCCTTTCTAGGTTAAAGTTCAGACTGTGTTTAAACACAAAGTATTGTTTCTTTATTGCTAATAGAATGAGTTTGCGGCTCGTCTAAGTAAAATGGAAGCAGAACGTCAAAACTTGGCAGAAGGGATCACTGTAGCAGAAAGGAAGTATTTAGATGAAAAGAGGCGAGCTGATGAGCTTCAGCAGCAAGTCAAAGTAACTAAAAACCACCTAGAGTCTGCGAAACAGGAAATGACAGACTATAAACAGAAAGCTACTCGCATACTCCAAGTAAGCATGTCTGTAAAGAAATCCAGTTTGATATGTACACAACTTTTTTTAAGGTGTTAGCTTCAACTAATCTGTGTTTTGTTTTTTTATTGTGACATGTAATACATTTTGGGGCATATCTGTAATAATGTCTATTCAGAATAGCTACCAGTCTGCATTTTGTAAACTTCAGTTTACAGGTGGAGTTAAGTAACTGAAATGGAAGTTCAGGTCCTGAACTTAAAAGTCCAAGTGAACCATTGCTCTTGCTGTGTTATGTCTGTCGCTGTGTTCAGCATTCAAGAGTCCAGTCTTAGGCAGGCAAGCAGGTGTAACCTGCAATCTGTTCCACACCCAGTATTCTTGAGTCAAGAATATTGCTCTGTTCTGATTGAGGCTGAAGCATAGCATATAATGGATACATATGTGTAAACCAAAGAAAATACTTTTTTATATTCCGAAAGGTTGCATGTGATGAACATTTTATAAACAATGGCAAAATCAGGTATTTTGTGCAGACTTCTCTAATAACTTATCAACGATACCAAGTCCAAATGTTGTCAGTTTGAGTCTTGTTTAGAAAAGTTAGCAAAATGTTGAAAATAAAGCTCTCTGTTTAGAATAATTAATTTAGTCTTATATCCGAGGGCAGGTTTTAAGTAATCTTGACAAACGTGAAAAGCATGAGATCAGAAATCAGTGTCAAGCTGACGTTAGGTTGACTCTGAATAAAATGGTTTATCCTCTTTCCTAGTAGAGTTATGACTGTATTTTGTTCTTATTTGGCTTTGTTGGCAGGAAAATGGATGGGCTGAAAGGGGATCAGTTTTGTCTTTAGTGCCTGTTAGTGTCTGTCTTCTCTCTTATGGTAGGTGGAAAGCTAAAATTGTTATCCATTCCAGGCACTTCTAAGGAGAAAAGCTGTACTCACCCTCAGATAGCATAGACTTTCAGTAAATCCAGTCTTATGGCATACAGGAAGTTAGAAAAATTATCACTAGGGAAGTATTTTCATTTTCAACTGCATAGGGTCATTATTATCATGGCTAAAATAACAGGTTAAAAAAAAAAAAAGCTCTTTTTCTATATTTCTACATTAGAATTTTAGAGCAGTCGTTTTGACATGTTCCAGTTGAGCACTTGTTAAATACTGCTATAAATAATACATTGATTTATTATTTCAGTCTAAAGAAAAGTTGATAAACAGCTTAAAAGAAGGCTCTGGTATTGAAGGCCTGGATAGCAATACTGCAAGCACAGTGGAACTAGAAGAACTGAGACATGAACGAGATAATCAGAGAGAAGAAATACAAAAACTAATGGGACAAATACAACAGATGAGAACAGAGCTGCAGGTAGCTGTTACATACACTTGCATTTGTAGTTAACCATGCACAAGAAGCTGGGTTTTTTGGTATGCTTTAGGGCTGTTGCTTCTACTCTTTATTTGACATGAGCTAAAGTTGGCTTCTTTTAATACTAAGGTGAGACAAATGATTATTGATAGCCAATTTCTTTCCATGTTGTCTCTCACCACTTCAGCTCGTGGTGGGAGGAATACTATAGATACCACTTCTTCCTTCCTTCATGACTGCTTGCTTCTTCCGAGGGAAGGATTTCTTTCTAAACAAGCATGGTGATTTCTGTAGAGATCACCTATATGCTTTTCTGCAAGGGCTACTAATCCTTGAAGCAACTGTAATCTGAGTCATCTGATGGCATAATTGGCTCAACCCAGCAGTTGCATGCAAACCTACTTTACGCAGTTTTACTTTGTAGACAGTAGAAAGGAAAAAGTGGAGACTTTTCATGTTCACAAATGCATTTATTTTGTTACTATATTAGTAAAAAGATACTGTATGTAAAATGACCAAACATAATTTATTTAGTGCACTCTCATGTTCATTTTCCTTTGAAGCAGTATCATAGATGCAACTTTTTTTGCTGTTCCCTGTGGCACATTGCAGTATTGTTTAAACGTTAGTGAAGTGATAACATTCCTGTTCATTTCAGGATATGGAGACTCAACAGGTAAGTGAAGCGGAGTCAGTGAGAGAGCAGCTTCAGGACCTACAAGAGCAAATAACGGCACATAAATTGGCCAAGCAAGAGGCAGAAGCTGAACTTGAACGGCAGAAACAGGTAAGGAATTTTTGAAAGCTGATTGATGTTTTTCTAGGCCTTGTGGTGTCATCAGTAAAGCATTTGGATTAACAAGAGTGGTTTTGGCAGTATTTGAGCTAATTTTTTTGTCCAGTATTCCAAAGAAATCCCCAAAAGCTTAATGGCCAAACAAGCACAATCCATACTAAGCAATGGACAGAGTCTTCTGGATGCTTCTGAAAAATGGAGATCTCACTGATGTGTTAAAGAATAAACATTAGGGAGTGCACAAAATTTATCATGGTCTTAAATTTTATTCAGCAGGGGAACAGTCAAACAGCAGGGATATAGAAACATTGGTAACTTATTTATATCAAGAAGCTCAAATACTAAAAATAGTTACTCTGAAACTTCCTGTGCTCAGTTACTACATAAGATGTAGCTTGTAAAACAATGTTATTATAGTACCAATTCAAAGATATTTTTTTATCCACTTATTACTCAGTTATTAACCTAAGTGCTGTTACTTCAAAACTGCTCTAAAAGACAAATTGCTGATAAAATTGTATTAGTGAATTCTGTCATGTGGTGTTGTCTTTTTAAGCAAACTTCTTAATTTGAGCAGTTTTGTTTAAAAAAAGGGAGGTGGGAGAGAAGGCCTGTATTTCATGTGAACAAATTTACTCAGGATGAATAGGACAGATGCTTTTCAGCATTAAAACGTTCCCTCTGTAACAAAAAGCTCATGTAAAGAGAACTAATAATTAGGAGAGCAGGAGAGTACACTGTATCTGCTCAGAACAATTTATCTTACAGGATTATCTGTCCTTCCAGAAATTACATTTTAATGAGATGATAGCAGCTTGAACTAATTAAAAGGCAGGAGTTGAGGTCTGCTCTTGATGGATAGCTGATGTTTATTATATCAAGGCAGATGGTAGGTTGTATTTTGTTACTCCTGCCCTTCTGATGGGTAGATTTTAATCTAATACTAATATAGAAAAAGTGAGGTGAATTAAAAAAAAAAAGCATTATCAGTTATTACAGAAACAGAACTATTCCTTTTGCTGCCATACATTTACATGTGCTTTTAAAGTAATTGTGTGCACTGATAGCTGAGACCATTATGGTTTGTTCTATCCTGGAATTTCTTTAACTACTGCCGTAAGGTTTGAGACTGAAGATAGAAAATAGGCAGAGGTGTTATTTTTTTGTGCATCTCATGGTTTCAAGGGAGAGTAGGTTTGTTTGTTTTCTGTAGTAACTGACTGCTAAAGTGGTACAGAGATTTGAAGACTGTCTTAATTTAAAAGATAAACATGGCAGGTCTTTGAGTTAAAATAGCCACTAAAATATGGGTGTAAGAAAACTTAAGAGTTAGATTTAGTGTTTGGTAATTTGTCCTTTGCTAATATTCCTGCCCCTTTCATATTGGCTATGTTGATTTACCCTAAACTTTAAGGATAAATATATTCAAATATTTTAAAGGTAAATATTTAAGGGAATATCTGTGTCATACAGAATTATAGATAGATATGCCACTTCTAAAAACATTTCTAAAACCTGGTATCTTGGATTGATGGGCTTATTTTATGAACAGTTTTCTCCCCCCCACCCCCCAAAGCATTTCCTTATTGTTTAAGTTTTGTTGTTGACACAGTTTCAAGGTAGCAATATATTAAACAGTATAAGGAAGATAAATCATGGTCCTGATGAAATTGTGTGACTCTTAGTAGACTAGTCTGGGTTAATATTTACCCAGACACTTAAGATTAGATTTCAATTTATATTTGAATGCAGCATGTTGCCTTCTTACTGTGACACTCTAGGTAAGAAAATATCTCTCAAAACATGTGTGTATTTTATTTGTAATTGTGATAAATTTTATAGGAACTCCATTATACTGAAGAAGAATTGTATCGAACAAAGAACACTTTGCAAAGCAGAATAAAAGACAGAGAGGAAGAAATTCAGAAGCTCAGAAATCAGGTACTGTGTGTGTACAGAAAATAACTTTTATCACCTTCAATTATGAAAACAGATGAGAACTGTAATTTAATTTAGCTTTACAAAAGAAACATAAAAGCTTTACAAATGAGTTAGGATACTTGTTTTCAGTAGAGAGTAAGGTATTGAGTGGAGAGAGAGCAAGAAGGGGGAAACACGAAGTAGCAAATAGCCTGTCTATAATCATGCGTTTTTGTCTTTGGGGAGGGCAAAAAATACCAACCTTTCTTAACTAGACCTGATGGGGTGATGCTGGATCAATATTCTTCATTTTGAAAACTAAAAATAGTCATTGGCATTTAATTAAGTCATCATGACTTCTGCTAAGATGCTTTTAACTGGACATAAGAACATAAAAAACATCCTACAGACTCAGTGATCTGTCTGGCCCACTGTTGTATCTTGCACAGTGACAGTGGGGCTGGCATGTGAGCCTGGCCGCTTTTTTCACTCCCTTGTATTCTCTCAACATCAGCACCTGAATTAGGGATGTTGGCATTTAAATCCCTACTAAATCCCACCAGTATGTTTACGGACCTATTTTCCTTGAATCAGTCTAACCCCTTTTGGAGCCTTCTCATGCTTGTCAGCCCCCACAGTCTTTTTGGGCAGCATGAAGGCATAGGTCTTGTTTTGTGCACATTATTGTAGCATAAGAAGAGTAGTCTATACGTAGAGTAAGTGTTAAGTCATGTATGATCAGCTGTGTAATAACAGTGTCAGAAGATTTGGAAATTATGATACAAATTTCTTGAGCCCTTTGGCAGACGGTTCCTCTGGTAATGCTGGCTTCAAGACTGCATCTGCCATGGTGCATGCATCTAACTTCTGATTTTGATATCTCGCTTCCTCTGCTTCCTGATGATTCTGGTTTTTCATTGCTGAAGCTACATCTTTGTGGTATACGATGCTACAAGTGGCTGAAGTCCAACGCTGTAGTGAATAGGCGAGCTATTGCATGTATGGCTAATCTGGAGATTCCCATTTGATTTAAGTATTTTCTGCAAATGAGTGATATGATCCATGTCTTCATTTGCTGTCCTTGCAGTTTCTATTTGCTAGTACAGTCATGTTTTCTGCCTCAGTGTTCCTCGATTCTTTTGCAATGTAAGCTGCATTTTCATCATTTTTATTCAAGGTTTCCTGTAGAATGGCATCAGATTCTCCCTATTTGTACTGAGTGTTTCCTTCCTCACTTGAAAGCATTTCATATACTCACTTGTTTTGTGAAATTGCAAGTATGATAGTCAGACTGGATTATCTTGCTATTGTAATTCCTGCCGTTTAAATTCAAATGTCAGGCATAGCACTGATTTTTGTGATCAAACTTGTGATTACACAAAAATGTTTATGTGATCAGAGCTGGAAAACATAGGAATACATTTTTACATAGTTTCTTGTGTCATGTAAAATCTTGTTTTAGCAACTGTCAAAATTAAGTTCCTTTATTGTGCTCATTGGTGATCATTTTGATAGTATTGATATTGATATATTGATCATTTTGATAGTATTATCCCATAAAAATCCTGCAGTGGGGTAACTTGGTTCCTGAAGGGCTCAGATTTTTATTTTTGTAATATGTCGGTTGGTCATAATTGAACTTACTCTGATTTTTTTTTTCTTTGCTTTGTGTTTTTAGCTGACAAACAAGGCTCTAAGTAGTAGTAGTCAGACCGAATTAGAAAATCGGCTTCATCAGCTGACAGAAACACTAATTCAGAAGCAGACCATGTTAGAGAGCCTGAGCACAGAGAAAAACTCACTTGTCTATCAACTAGAACGACTTGAGCAACAGCTGAAGGCTATTCAAGGCACTAGTAATAACGGACCTTCCATTAATATGTCAGTCATTGATGGTGCTGAAGGTAAATAAGGAAATGGAATACTTAAAACTCTGTCCTTTTTGCAGTTCAGGCTTTTATATTTCCAAATGCCTTTTCCTGAAAGTCTAAACTTATAAGGAATAAAAAAAAAAAAAGCTGAATATGTGCAGTTTATGCCAGAGACCTTGTCAACAGCAGCCAGTAGTATAAAAATAGTTAAGTAGAAGCTGAGTTTTGTGTGCTGATGACTTTAAGTAAATATAATGCAGTCAATTTTATCTTTAATTCTTAATACTATGACACGGTTGGAACAAACATTTACAAATCCTAACACAGGTGCAAATAAATCTCAGGGTTTAAACTGAGTGTCAGAAGCAGGATGTAAGGCTTGTCTTGCAGCAGGGTTTGGGAGGTGAGCAAGAATGGGATACTTCCTTTTGAGAGTTAATTAGAATTCTGGTTGAAATCAGTTTCCTTCCTGATTGTTGTTTTTATTGAAAAGCAGCTTAAAATACAGCGGTTCTACTGAGGTTGGTTTATCTGTACTGTGTAGTGAACACACCCTGTATTTCTAGGAGAACCTCAGCAGTTGATCCATGGTTTTAAGATGTTACTTTCCAAAGTCAGAGTTTGTAATTTTGCATATATGCTAAGTAACTTTTAAAACAATGGACCATTACTGGGAGGTGTGAAATGACAGTCCAGACTTTTGTTTCCCTACTTATAAAAGGCTTTTAAAAATGGGAGGAGATTGGAAATGTATTTGCTTTGGGCTTGTTTTTAAGTAAATTTGGTAAGCTTAAGTTTAGTTGTGCACAGGTGGTGTTATCTGAGAATCTTGTTTCTTTATTAATGAAGTCAACACATAATAAAAATGTCAATAAATACAAATTTTTGGAATATACAAGTTAGTATCAGAAGTGCTATCAAACTTCTAGTATATGAGAAATAAAAGCAAATGGAGAAACTGTGACCTTACCAAACTCATAATTTCATATGGCTGATAATAGAATTATTATTACATGCTAGAATTGAATATCAAGAAGTCCATCTAGTGAGCTGCAATAAATTTAAAAAATAGACTAAATTGAAGAAACATTTGACTTAACTGTAAGCTTATCAAGAATTCCGCTCTCAAAACATACTCCTCTGCCCCCAGAAAAATGGCACTAATAAATCAGTCACTTTTTGTATTACTTTTATGTATCTTTGTTACACGCTATTGATTTCTTTTATTTAAACAACAACTTAGATGGTTTTAGACTAATGAGATTTTTTTGGTGGTGTTTTTTTTTTTTTTCCCTTCAAATAGGTGCTCGTATGCGTAATGTTCCTGTCCTGTTCAGTGACGTGGATACTAACATGGCAGGAATGTATGGGAGAGTTCGCAAAGCTGCCAGTACTATAGATCAGTTTAGGTAAGAGTGTCCAAAGGGAATACATTTTGTAATTACTGGAATCCTTTTGCAGTTTTCAGGTGGCCCACCTTCTGTTTTCATTTGCTTTTATGAAGGTAAAAGTGAAAAATAATGAAGCTAAAGTACTGTATAAATTGTTTAATATTGACCCAGTTCACTTATGTTTTCCTATAATATTAATATCCTCGGGCTTTTGTGAATTATAGTAAATTATTTAGGCAACACTCTTGTAGGTTTTGATACGAGAAAATTACTAAACTTTTTCAAAAGTACAAAAATCCAAAAACCCCTCATCTTTTTCATTGCCATCTGCCACTTTTCTCACTTTGAGGCTTTGATCATGTCTGTGATAAATACTGTAAGACTGTATTAGTGTGGGAGTATCACAGATACTTGATTCCCATTTAGGCATCCTAATGAAGACAAGTTTCTGGGTTCTGATCCTGTGCAACTGTTTACCTTGAAAGATAATCTATTTGAGGAATTAGTAAACAAAGATCATTCTGGATCCAGCTAAAGTCTTGGCTTAATCCTTTTTCTGAGTAGTTAGGTTAATTGTCAGTATTCACAACAAAGGTCTGCTCCAAAACTTGAATTGAATACTAATTGAAAAGCAGGTTAGGTAATACTTTATAATCCTTTGAAAGCAAGATACCTTAATGGAAAGTCCTTAGTGCTTCCGTGGTACTTTAATTATGAAGAATATTAGGATTTCCATGGTTGTGACTTATTATGTGATGTTTTAATACTAAACTTTATTTGGCAGTATTATACTCACTTAAGTACGTGGGGTTTTTAAAGTGATGTTAATGAGCAACAGTGCACACATCTAATGCAGTGTATTTGGTAGCACCTTAGCAGTAAACTTGGAAACCCCATGTCCTTCTCATCTAAGAGCACTAGTGATCTATCAGGTTTTTCAAACAAATTTAAGGTTTTATTTGCTTAAGCCTTTTTGAAGAGGCAGCTGTTCAAGTAACAAAATTTGGCAAAAATGTAGCATATTTGAATTTTAAAATACCTGTACAACTCTTGAATCTTAGCTCCTTTTCAATAACTGAGCTTAACAGATGTAACAGAAAAGATACGAGAACTTGTTTTCTGGTCTGAATTTGAACTTTCACTCCAGTTAAGGCCTTGAATGCATGAAGTAAAATTCAAGTCAGAAAGAAAGCCATGTGTGAAGCAGCAGCTGATCTTCATGAGTTTGTCATGATTGGAATGAGAGGAACAGTATTGTTCATTGTTAACTTCTGGATTTTGTGTTCTTTTGCGTAGCATTCGGCTGGGAATCTTTCTTAGGCGGTATCCCATAGCAAGAGCCTTTGTAATCATTTACATGGTGAGTAAGCTTTCTTTAAAGAAAGAAGCTTAATACAAATTTTCTACAGCCAGTTCATTTAATATGTCTTAAATTGCAAGGTGTTTCATGTTCAGAAGGCTATATAATTAACAACTGGGTGTATATTTTTGTAGAGCAGACTAAATAGGGCTTATATAACAGCATTTTGGAGTCATGTTGCTTATCAGCTTTCAGTTTTTCCCAGGAATTCTTAGCATAGCAGTCCCAAAGATGTGTATGTAACTACCATTTGAAAGACTGTCAAAACAGATTTTCAGTACTGAAATACAGAGTTAGTAACCTGTTGCCAAAGTTAACCCACCACAACTGTGTGCACTGCATTAGGAAAAGTATCTGTTACAGCTTTTTTAATGTTTGGCACTTTTCTTTTTGTTGAGTGTCTAATAATAATACGTCTCTAGCTGTAAAAGTAGCAGGAAAGGTTTTTCTTGCTAAACTTAAGTAGTGGAAAGTTACTCTTGTACCAGGCGGATTGTCAGGCTGGCAAGTGATAAAAGTGAAATTCTTCCTTTTTCCACTGGAGGGCAGATGTCTGTCAGTTAAAGTGACCTGTGGTCAGGCAGGTGTGCAGTATACCCTGCTGGAAAATACTCCGCTGGTTGAGTCTTTGAAAAAAAACAAATCCACGTTGCTTGAAGAAGGCATAATGATTCCTCTGAACAGAGCTTCCAAGGGCAGCTCTACCTATTTCAGGATATAAAGCAGGCAGACAAGCATAAATAAAGAAAACTACAGTTTCTGCTTGCAATTGCTTCTTCCAGCTATTAAGTACTGGAAGGAACAGGGCTGTTTGATTCCTGACTTTTCTCTTTCTTCCTATTGATTGCTTAGACTTACCAGTATATGAATAAAATGCTTTGTAGCAAAACACTGAAAACTTACTGCTTAAGCTGAAGTCTGAACTGGAATGCAGCAATTGTTCATAGGAGCTGTATATTGGACAGTCTGTGGCAGTTACACTTGTTCAGCTCAAACCTTGGCTAGGACTTTTGTAACTTGAATGTTTAATTTTATTTTATTGAAGGAAATGTGGCTTATGTATCCTGTCAGTTACCTCCATTGTTGCAACCCCAGCAACTTCTATTCTAATTGTATAGTTTTAGCCAAAGTTGAATGAGAATTAACATTCCCACAGACTTCATAAAAGTGCTTCAAATTGGTGCCTGTATTAAGCAGAAGGGAAGCAGAACTCGGCTGTCTTACATAGACTGGTAGTAACCAGTTGGCACAGGAGCAGTGCCTTACCAGTCACCTGAGGCAGATCACATAATGTTCTGGCTGGGGGCTGGTATCAGAGAGAACAGCTGCAGTTACTGGGCCATGGAGGAAAAGAGAAGCCAGAGGACATAAATGTGTAGGAAACCAAGCTGCTTTATTTTTGCTTTCTGGGTAAAGCCTTTAGTTTTCTGCAGATGGCTTCTTCAGAATCTGACTCAGCATTTCATTGCACAAGTAAGAATTCTTTTTTTAGGAGTATCTGAATAATAGGAAAAACACAATCAAAATATTTCTACAAAACTAAGTTTTATTAGCTCTCATTGAGAGCTCTCATACATAATGCTCCTGTGAATGATGACTGACAGTGCTGATAAGTTCTCTTTCTTTTCCTTTCCCAGGCATTGCTTCATCTCTGGGTCATGATTGTTCTGCTTACCTACACCCCAGAAACGTATGACAGTCCCAGTGGCAGATAGACTGAGACAGGGCCATATGCTGTGCTGATGTGATTTGAAATGGGAGCGTCTTCAGAATAATCAGTCCTGAAATATCAGCAAACTTTTCCTCTTGGTGTTTAGGAAGAATGAAAACCATCATGCCTGATTTATCACTACTTTTCAAATATGTGTATAATATTACATAGCTTTTTCAATTTACCTAAAGGAACATCACTTTCCTGGAGAAATAAAGCTATTAAGTTAAACTGTGGCTAGCCTTTAAATTTTTTGTAGATCCTCTCGTGATTAGAGTAGAAGATAAGGCTTGCACCTGCGGAGAAGTGCAAGGGTTTCTGACATGCAGGTATACGTGGTACAAATTATTTTAGATCATACTGGATGTGGGCTATGGTCAGCTAATGAACTGTACTTAGCAGTTTAAATAAACTTACTCTTTCTGGTTTCTTTCAGTCTGCTTTTGCACTTCTATTTTTACCTTTGTAAATAGTAGGCTTTTCCTTAACGTATTAAACTGAAAAAAGGACAATGGATTGGTGCAATATCTTTTTGTACATAAGTTTAAAAACAAAATATTATTCATTCTTCTTAGCTTTGTACTTCTAGTGCAATAGATGTATCTTCCCTACCAGCTCAATAGTGGGGCTGCCTATTTACAGGCTGGTATTTTAGCTTTATTACAGGAAGAGAGAGATGGTTTTGAGAAAGGTTTAAACTCTTCAAAAATAAGGTTGTTTCTTTTTGCACTTGAACTTTATATATTTTAACTGCATTTTCTTATACCTCTCATTATTACATGTCTGAATCAGATCTTATATTCATTGAAATACTTATTTTCTAAAGCTTTGGGTACTTAATTAAAACTTTCTATACAAAATTATCAAAACATCAAAAACTTCTCATGTCTAAATACCAACTATACTAATAAAAAACCTAATCAAATATTTATTGTAAAGCCCATAATGCCAAACCTACTGTAATAGTTCTATAGCTAGACTGTGGCATTCTGTAATTATGAATTATCAACACACAATAATGCAAGGTCACTTTCTTTCCCTAGGAAATGTCATGTTTTCATGTGTGGTGCTCAAAGCTGAGTATTGAAGAGATGAGTACAAGCAGTCTGTCACTCCTGCACTTAAGAATATGGCTCAGTTTTCATGTGTCTTGAGCACACTTAAGCATTAGGCCCTGTGCATGAAGTCTGTTGTGCTAAGTCCTATGGAAATGTTACAGTAGCTGAATGACTGTATTGCTGCTCTGATTCAGATCTTGCAGAGAAAACTGAAATGTTTTGATGAACTCAGTAATAAAAGAGCATTTGCTGTAAGCTGTGTCCCTGTGCTCTGTCCCAGTTACTGAATTTTGCCTGTTGCCTCTTTTTAAGTTCTGATATTAAAGCCATATTTGAACCCTGGAGAGAGCTGATTGCTGTAGAAGATTTGTTTAAAGTCCTTCAAACAATCTTCTCCCTATACATACATGCTTTGGTTTGTGGGTTGTTGTGGGTTTTTTAGTTGGTGGTTGGTTCTGGGGGATGGGTTTCTTTGGGGGGGGTGGTTTGTTTTTCACTTAAAACCTCCAAACCACTGAATCTTTGGATACTCCAATATATTGTGATAATTTAGGGAGAGCATTCTTAGCAGTATAAGCCCCTTAAGAGCTTTTCTGACATCACACTAATTGCACATCTATTCTTGCTTCCTTTCTCCATGTTTTTTCCTTCCCCCCCCCCCCCTTTTTTTGGGGGGGGGCGTGGTGCTGTTGGGTTTTTTTGTTTGTTTGTTTGGGGGTTTTTTGAGCGATCACCTTTTGGCATGTGCAGGTACCTTCTATGTAACTTAGTAAAGCCACTACAGTGCTTCTAGAATGTGAGTATTTGTGTTCATTTCCCCCCTGCTCCTTTGTGCTTGGTTTCCGTGCTGTGGTCAGAAGGACAGTATGTATTGTGCTGCCTTTCTGGAAGGGGGTGAGGTAGCTGGCAGCAGGCTCAGAGGGAGCAGCGGGACAGGCCACAGGCAAAGGTGTGAGCTGCTCAGGCAGAGGAGGCTGCAGAGGGATTCAGAACTTTTCCACAGTTCTTACAGGTTTTATGCTGGATAGTTTACAGGGGTAAGCACTGAAAGATTCCTGCTGACACGTGCTTTTGAACCAGGCTCTTGTATTCCACTGGGCTTAGGTAGTGCTGATCCCTGTGATGTCTTACAGTTGAGAATTACGCCTTTAGTGCAGATTTTGTTCTTGACCTCTCTGTGTATTGCTGTTTCTATTCCTTGTCCATGAAATGATGCATAATGTACTTTCCTTGTTGCAGCTTCAGTTCCCATCATTGCTATTAATTTTATTTTTCTTCTTTTTTAATTTTAAGAATAAGTGTTAAAGGAGGGCACGGCTGTTTGCATACCTGATTACACTCTGATTTTTAAAAGGTGTGACGTGAAAAACCAAATTGTGAATCAGTATGTTTTCACCTAGGAAAAAACCTGAAAGTAGGTACCTTATAGTCTCAATTGCCTGCCAGACAAAGGGATGTTCAGTGTGGAGAGTAATGTGGGATGAGGAGATAAATGCCACTGAAGGATATGCTACAGTTTATGTAAACACCTTTAAAGTGTAGAACAGGTAGGAAAAATCTTTATTATGGTGCTAAATTGTTTCAGAGGTATACAAGAAATACAAATAATTGCTCCTTAAAGCTTTTGTTTAAACACACTGAATTTTTGCCCCCATAATTTATTTTGATAAGCTGCACATGATGCAATGCAGGAGCTCACACAACCATGTGATGGAGTCTATCTGAATATAAATGTCCAATATTTAGGTGAAGGGTAAGATACGCTCCCTGCTTCCAGTTAGTGATGCTGGGCTCCAGTGTCATCTCTATAGATTTGCAAAGTGGGCCACAGCTATGGGTCAAAGGTGACATAAGGACACAGTTTTGCCAAGCAGCTCCTAATGGTGTCAGGAGGTTGCCTTACTGAACAGATGGCTTTGGAGCGAAAAAAAAAGCTTCTGTTAGCCTTCATCTTAAGTGGCAGGAGGCTATTCCAAGTGCCAAGGGTGCTCTTGAGAGACTATCATACTACTGTGCACTTAAAGTACCCTAATTTCAGAGACCAGCATAGCAGTTTAGGGGTTTTAAAAATACTTCATAAATGCTGAGCCTATCATTCCATGCTCTGTAGCCTAACACCAGAAATAAATGGTCATAACAACTCACAGAAAATAGGAATCTCTGTCCCTAGCTGCTCTATCTCACTGCCTTGAGAGTACAATATGCTACTGTGTGGCTGAAGAAAAGTCCTTTATAATTTTCTTCCTTCTAGGACTGAAACTGCTCCAGGTGCCAAGTGTACACCTTGAAGGAGTTAGAGATGAAAAATGGAGAAGTTGGTAGGGAACATCTGGTTGGTTGGTTGTATTTATTCCCCCCCTGCCCATCTGTGCTCAGTTTTCATGCTGTGGTCAGGACAGTGTGCATTGTGCCACCTTTCTGAAAGAGGGAGAGAGATGTCCTCTCCGAGATGGTCACCAGCAGGCTCTGCAGGAGCACTGGGCAGACTGTAGGTAAGGGTGAGAGCTGCTCAGGCGTAGGAGGCTGCAGAGGGATGTGAGAGCAAGGCATTTATTGCCTGGCATTTTGCAGCCTAGAAAAGGCCTATTTCTTTCAGACGCTGGTCATCTTGGTATGTTTAATTGGGTAGATGTACTCAGTACCAGACTTGGGTTTCTATGAAAGAGAGCTTTATGTGAATACTCACAAGACCTTGTGCTGCAACAAACTCTTCTTTGCCACCTTGGTTTGCTGATATCTGATCTCCCTGCTTTATTTGCTGTGCTAGGTCAGCCATAAGTATACCAAGACTGTACAAAGGAAGTGACTTTATTGCTTAATTTCAGATAACATTAACAGGGGGGAAATCAGACTTGCAAGCTAATTAATTTACTAATTTCTCATCAGTATCGATGAGACAGATGTTGCCTTACCACAGAATGGATTTCTTTGCTTCCCTCTTTCCTTGTTGATCAACTGCAGTCTGGTTGTAAGATTTGCCATGAATGTATTGCTAGGCATTTAGCCATGAAACTGTAAACCAATTTTCATGAATAAAACTGAGAATTCATTATCATTTCAATTACTCTCCTCCATATGCTACTGCCTTGCTCTATGGCTTGAGTTTAGAAAGCCTTGTCTTGGAAACGGGCAGACAAGTGACAGCAGAGCTGAAATGAGGAGATGAATAGTAGCTCCCCAAATTATCTGCATTAATCTAACAGAGTGTTGAAAAGCATTGCATTGATATCTTTGTTGACAAGAAAACATAACGATTCACAATTAGTGTTTAATTTGTATTTAGAAAACATATTCTGCTGGATGATGGACATGAAATACCAGTTTTCTGCTCAAACGTAAGTACTTATAGGGGATCCCTGCCTGTGAGTGTCCTATCTATATTGCAGCATCCCTGGCAAGCTGGGAGGGAGTCTTCCAGTCTAACTCCCGCTCAACAGCTCAGGAGGTTGCACAGATAAGGCAGATGAAACAAAGAGCAGAAATCAGCTGTTCTTGCTGATGTTCAAAGCTTCCCCATACAATAAATCCAGCTCAGCTTGAATTGCCTGCCAGTTTATGCCAACGAGATATGCAGATAGAGACTTTCCTGAGCAGGATCTCCTAAGAACATATTTATGCACCTGAAGAAAGGAGTCTGAGTTCTGTTTACCCATGACTTTGACCTTTACATGACACTTATCTGGCCACAGGATGCTCATATACAAACTTTTGCAGCCTTTACTTCAGAAGGCAGAAAGGTTTTGCTTTTGCAGAGCTACATCTGTGCCCCCTTCTTCAGAGAGCCATGTACCTTGATCTGCAAGCATGCAGCCATGGCCCTGTGGAGGCTGGTTTCCCCAGACTGCTGCCAAACCCCAGGCAGCCAGCTGGGATTGGACCTGTCACAGTCATAGGAGTGGGAACAGCTGCCTCATGCCAGGCAGTAGAATATCAAGGACCAAGGCACACTTGGTCCATCTGTGATATGTATGGCCATAAAACCGTACCTTGGTAAAGAGGGGTCTAATTGCCCATGATGTTTTTGCAGGATAGCAGTAGGAGAAGTTATCCAAACTTCTGTTTCCAAGCTGGAAGCAGAAGCAGTGCTGTGGAGGTGGGGGTGATGCTGCCTCTGCTATGGGAGCCAGGGGCTGGATACCTACCAGGGCTGGGTACAGCCCTGGGACTGGGCACAGCTGGGGCCTCTTTACAGGCCAGAAATGCTGTTCCTGCCTGTGTCAGGGAGGGAAACAAAGGTTGTCCAAGGACTGGTGGCTGGGCTTTGCAGCCAGAACAGACATTTCCATAGGCATAAAGTGGAGCTGTGCGATCACCTGTATCAGTTATACATTGTATTTATCATTAATCCAAGGTTATTAAAGCATCAGTTTGAACTTCCTGCATCTGCTGCTTCCCAAGGGTTCACACAGAGATCAACTATGTAACAAAAGGCTCTAATAAAAGCAAGCAGTGCAGCTGCTGCTTTGGTAGGAGTTGTGCACCCGCAGCCCAGGTCGGGCTGCAAATACAGCCAACGGTGAGGCCCATTGCTGCTGTGCCCAAGTGAGCGTTGCCGTGCCCTGGCTTTGCCCACCTCCAGCACTGCGGAGGCAGTGGGATGAGATGGTGCACCCACTCAGAAAAATCCATCTCTTCAAACCTTATAGTTGTTACTATATTTATTTACTGTTTTTTTAGTATAAACCCAGGAACACATTGTGTTCTGGGGAGCAGAATCAAATACCTCCTCAGGTTATTCCCAAAATAGCTTGATATGAGATGTTGCAGTACAGTTTTATGAATTAGTTTCCTAACTTAACATTGAGTATAACCTAAATGTTGTACTCAAACCTGAGTACTTGACAGTGAGTGGGGAGGAGGCTGAAGGGAGCTCAGCTGTGACGTGACGGAACTTTCTGGGAAGGTCAGGACCAGCTCACAACAGCACAGCTTCCCAGCAGTTATTAGTTTCTTCACTTCAGTTCCTATTTGGGTCAATCAGGAAGTTTCAAGCATCTGGTACTTTCCCTGGCCTCTGGAGTTACAGATAAAATAAGTTCTTTAACTCTTACCAGTTTCCTCTGATTTTACTCACAAAAATTACCTTGCCTTTAGTTGCAAGGCCACACAATGCTCCACCTCCTCCCTAATGACAGGAAGTTACAACACATTTTTCATACATGATGGGGTTTGGTGAGCAGCAGTATGGAGGTAGCCATTTCCTTGTTCATTTCTCCTCTTGGACTCTTTCAAGCAAAGCAGCTGGAAGGTGTTTG